TCCAGTGAGGCCTGGCACAGAGAAACATGCCTCATTTGCTCAACGGAAAAAAGCGCCCAGGCTGTTCTCCAGCACGTCCCGATGGTATCCATGGGCAAGGGGTTCAGCCCGGGAAGGACAAGGTTGGGCAAAGTGAAACCGGCTTGTTAAATGCAGGCCTTCCCATCATCTGCTAGGGAGGACAAACGGCAGGCAGCCTTGCCCAGACTTTTCGAAACGGGAACCCTCTCCCGCAGAGCAGCATGTGGGGCCGGCTCCACATCACGCGGCAATCCCCGGGGCTAACTCCCCCTTGCTCTGCTCCGCGGTGGCCACGCCATTCCCCCCTGCGCCTGGACCGGGGCCTAAACTCCGCTCACACCAGGGGTAAGCGTGCTGCAGCTGGGGTTGGCGGGGGGCCCGGCGCAGCATCCCCGGGGCCTCTCTAGAAACCAGCTGCAATTAGCACCCTGCTTCCTGGGAGCAGTCTCTGGGGAAGCCGAGGCAAGGCCCTCCGGGGCGGTGCTGCGCCACAGTTGTGCGCGGAGGGCCGAGAAGCGGCAGGAGGAAGTTGTGAGCAACCGGGGGCCTCCCAGCCAGCGTCTGCAGCAGCTGGAGCTCCTGGCGGGTCTGAGCGGCCGGCCGCTCACTTCCAGCTGGGACGGCTCTCTGGTGACTCAGCACCACCTCTTCCGGTGAAGGGCTCGGGGGTGGTGAGGACAGGAACCACAGCTTGATGGCCACAGACGGAGCCGGAGAGGTCTACAGGGCGGCCCCAGGGACCTCCCACTCCTGGCCCCCCATCACCCTCCACCTCAGAAGGGCCAGGAGAGCAGCTGGTCCAGGAAAAAGGACGTTTTATTTCCATAAATACTCCCGCTCTCACTCACACGCGGACCCCACTCTGCCCACAGACAGACGGATGGGCAGAGGTGAGCTGCCCACAGGAGGCCCCGGCAGAGGCCAGGGACTGAAGGGGACGCACCGGAAACCCCAGTGGCCCTGAGCCTCCAGCTGGGGCCACCCGGCTCTGGCGTGACCTTCGGAGGGCCAGCAGTCACAGCCCCCACAGCCCCGCAAGAAGCCTGATGGCCAAGGGGGCGGGCGGGTGGAGCGAAAGCCCCACGAGGAGTGGGGGACGGGTGGGGCTCCCCCAACCGGGCCCCCTGAGATGGTGACCACAGGGCCACTGAGACAGAAAAGCAAAGAGAGTCAAACCACACAGCAGAGAGTGCAAAGAGCTGGGGGTGCAGGCGTCACCCCCCCGCCAGTCACCCGGTTCCTACGGAGGAGGCCTGAGCTGGTTCCCGCTCCAGCATGGCCCCCAAGTTATGGCTGGGCCTTCCCATAAGGCATAAGAGACGGGTGGGGATGACCCCACCCCAGGCTGGGGTCAGGGCTGGGCCTGAGGTCCTGGCCCTTGCCCGACAGCCATGCTTCTCCCCCATGACCCCAAGTCCTTCCAGGGCCAGACAGCCGTTCCCTGCTCTAGGCTCTCCCCTGTGGCCAAGGTCCCCAGCAGCGCAAACCCAGGCCCAGTCTTCGGCTGGGTCCATCTGCGCAGGGGAGGAGACGAGTAAGGAGAGGGCTGCAGGGGTGAGGGGAGAAGCACCAGGCCCAGGGGATGTCGCCGTGGGAACATAGGGTGTCCTAGGCCACCACGGCCTTCCCCCCGCAGGCCAGACAATGGCCAGTCCTGTTCCCCCCTCCTCTCCCCCACCCCTCCCTGTTCTAGAGGCTTCCCCAGGTCTCAGGTGGGGGGAACTGGTCCACATCCCCCATCTCGTTGTAGGTCTGGTCGCCCATGGTGAAGAGAAGCTTGTAGCGGAGGCGAACCTTCTCCTGGGGCAGAGACAGTGAACGCAGAGGGTCAGAGCGAGAGAAGGGGCCGCCCCCACCCCCACAGCGGCGCGTCGTCACAGCCGGGCCCCTCACCTTCTGGGGGTTGGCGAGAAGCAGGACCTGGGTGATAGCCGAGGGATGGACGATGGGGTTAAACGCCGGCAGCTCCGTGCCTGAGGGCGGCTGCAGCTTTACTCTCATGACCTGCGGACAGCAGGGCGGGACGGGGCCCAGCTGAGTCCCCCGCTTCTTGTCCCCACCCTCTGAGGGACCAGGCCCAGTCTCCCTGCCAGCTCCTCTAGGGGGCCAGGGGCTCTGTCCTTGGGTTCCCTTCCATCCCCTGCCCCCCCACCGGCTGGCTCCCCGTCCAGCCCCGGGTCACCCTGCCTTGAGAGGAAGGAGGCACGCTCCTGTCACCTTGGGAACAGCCGACTGGAAAACAATGTTGCGAATGGGCTGGGGGGCGGTGCTCAGCATGGACACCACCACCACCAGCACGTCCGAGCGTCCGGGCAGCGGGTCGCGGGCAAAGTGGAAGAGGACCCGGAAGCCATGCTGGTCATACACCGTCACTGGCAAGATGCTGCCTGGCAGGGGAAAGGGGACAGGGCGATGGGGGGGGGGGTGCCAGGCCTGAGCCCAAGCACGTCCAGCTGGCTCCCAGCAGGCACTCGAATCCACAAACTCAGGTCCTCGCCTTTACCCCGGAAGCAGTGGGGCCACGGGTACAGACCGGCACCCGGACGGGGCGGGCGAACTTCTACCGTGTCGGTGGAGGCAAGACACGCACGCCCCAGGCTGAGTGATGGCGGGGGATCCCCCAGGGCCTTGGGACTATGGCCCTGGACTGCTGGAGTGAAGGCCTATGGGTGAGCTGGAGTCAAGCTCTCACCGTGTGACTCTAGCACAGTCAGTCCGGTGTTCGGGGCCTTCTCTACTGGTAAGAGAGGGGCACCATCGGCCACTTCTTGGGGACACTGAAGGGGTGATGCCCTCGGTCAAGGTGCACCCACAAGACGGACAAGGCCGAGATGACCGGCCAGTCTTCATCCGTCTGACCTGGGCTGTGAGTGGTCCCCAACTGCCCCTGGGCAGCAGAAGCTCGGACTTGGACCTACATCCTTATCCTGGCTCGGTTTCGTGACCTTGGAGAGACCCGGGACCTCTATGTCCTGGTCCTGCCTTCTTGGGGAGGGAGCACCCGGCAGCCAGCGTAAGGAGTCGTCTTGCCTGTGGAGGCCTGGACCGTGCAGAGCACGCTGCCCTCGCTCTGGGAAGGATGAAGCAGGGGGCCCGCGAAGGACAAGGGTCTTGCCCAGAGCTCCTCCCTGGGTCACGCAGTGGCACGCGCTCCCAACGGGACAACGGGGGGGGGGGGTGTGCTGCTGGGTGGCGTGCTGACCCGGCCCAGCCTCGACCCGCTCGCACCCCCGGCCCACTCACTGGGTTTGATGGACTCCAGGGGCACAGTGATGTTGGCCAGCGACAGCTCGGTCGTCGTGGGCTGCTGCGGAGGCCCAGGGGGCTCAGGCGACGCCGCGTGGAGGAGGCCGGCGGCACTGGAGCTGGTTGAGCTGCAGTTGCTTTTATTCTGTAGGTCCCGGAGTGTGAGCCGGGGGGCTGGCTGCTGCTTCTCCCTTGTTGGGGGACGTGGCATTGGGGGGGTGAATCTTCGGGGGCCGAGAGATCAGGGGCACAGGAGAGGCCGGGCTTCCCGGCTGTCCCCGGTGGCCGGCTCGGAGGCCTCCCTGTCTCTCTGGCCTTGGTCTCCTCACCTTGGAACAGGCAGCTCCTGTCCCCCACCCCTGCCCGGTGGGACACGGCTCTGTGCTCCGCGGGATGGGCCCTGCACCTGCCTCGGGCACCGCTGCCTCCCTCAAGACCAGTGCAGTGCTTGGCACGCGGTGGTCCGTTAGCCACGGCTGCCCACGGGAGCACGCGGGCACCGGGCCTCTGGCCGCGGGGCCTGGGAGAGCCCGGAAGCGGATGCTGTTGGGGGCGGGGGACACTCCCACCCCACCCCAGCCAGGCTGTGCCCTCACCACCGCACTTGTTGGGACTCCGGGGGCAGGGACTGCTGCAGGAGGGTCTTCCCCAGGAGGTCCAGGTCATCCAGACCGCTGCTCGCCGGCAGAGACATGGGTGCCGGGGGCTGGCTGTCCGCGCTGGGGACCCGAGGCGGGGCGGGGGGTTCTGCGCCATCAGACGACTGTTGGGCACACAAAGCACGCAGGTGGGTAGGGCGGAGCCGAAGAGGGGTCGGGGTCGCCTGAGGCCCCTGCCCCTCCCCGCGGGTGACATCTGGGGAAGCAGCAGCAGGGAAGGGGACGACACTCCTGCTGGCCTGCGCCCGTCTCATGGGCCGGCCTGGTCTGCGGGGTCTACTCTAGAAACCAGCACGTTCCAGGGACCTTAAAGTCACCACCAGGAGAAAAGGAACGGGAACCTCATCTCATCTCAGCGCTGACTCGCAAGGAGAGCGTGTGGAGCTGAGGAGAGAATGCCTGCCCGGGGACCCCCAGGTCAGGACAGGAGCCTCAGCCCCGGGGACCCCCGCCCCAGGGCCCTCTTTCTGCACTGCCCGCTGCAGGCTGCCTGTCCCAGCCACCCTACCTCAGGATGGGTCGTGCTGGTTCCTGGCCCTCCTACCTGGAAGCTATTCCATCCAGCACCATCCAAGCCTGGGCCCGAAGGGGGTGTGGGATCGCTTAGGCCTGAAGGGAAGCGAGGCAGACGTAAAGGAGCTGGAGGTCTTCCAAAGCAAGGGAGCTGGGGGGCTGCGTGCTGGCCTGGGGTCCGTGGCTCCCGCCCTCCCCCCGTATCGCCCCAAGAGGCTTAGCTCAGACGAGAAAACCCACTTTCAGAGGGAACCGGCAGCAGAGCAGAAGCAGGAACCAAAGATCCTGAAGGCCCATTCCCCACGCCCACTTATGCTTCCACTCCTGCACTCCGAAGCCACCTCAACTACGGACATCGGGACTTTTGTCTTTGCGGTCAGCCGGTGGGCCGGGGACCCAGGGGTGGCGGGAAGGGAGGACGGAGTGGGAGACGCCGGGGGTGGGTCCACGGGCAGGGGTCGGCATTCTGCCCCCACGCGGCCACAGCCTCCGAGCGCCAGGGGGCAGGTGGCGCCCCAGACTCTGAGCAGCCAGGCTGGGCTGGGCTGCAGCGTCCCCGGGGACACGGCTGCAGGGCTGAACGGGGGCAGGCTCTAAAGGCCCCATCTGCCCTGGCCGCGCCGACAGGGCTGGCCGGCTGGCGCCAAGGACAGCCGTGGGCCCTCTGGATGGCTCCGCTCATTAGCCCGCCGACTCGCAGAGGGCAGGGGGTCACCCACCCGGTCTGACCCGAAGCACGCCCTGGGCCAAGGCCGCCATAGGTTTTATCCACAGAAGACAAGTTGGCCTGTTGCCAGCGAATCCCGAATCGGTGAGGTGCAGCCTGAAGAGCTGAGAGGCACCGGCAAGGCACCGGAGGCTCTGATTGCCGGGCCTCTTCCTCTGGGCACACCTCTCCGAGAGCAGGGACAACCGAGCGGTGACTGTTGTCACACGCCCGGAAGCGTCGGGCACCTCAGACGCGGGGCTCACTCGATCCTCAAACAATCCTGACGAGTGCGCGTGGGGCTGTCATCCCTCTTTCGGGGCTGACAAAGCGGACACTGAGGCCGGTGAGTAACCTGCCCAAGGCCACACAGCCGGCAAGTGGCAGCATCCGGCCCCGGACAGAACGTGGCCTCGCTGCTGGAGTCCGAACACAGCTCTGCCCCTTGGCCGTGTGACCTCGGGCAGGTGCCCACCTCCCTGGGCCTCATCTGTAAGACTTGAGGGGACCGTCTTGACTAATAAAGGAGGCCGATGTGATGAAGTGCCTCAACAGTGGCGGACGGGAAGTCCCCGCTGCCTGCCCCGCCCCCACCCTTCGCCCTTCCTGCCACAAAGAGCCGGTTAGGACGAGCCCCCCCGACCCTGTGGTCCCAGGGCTTCCTCTATTCCCCCAGGCTGGGCGGGTGCTGCCCTGGCCCTTCTGGTTCCTGTTCCCACATTTCCTTTCCCTTTGAGTAGAAACCAACAGATGCCGGAGGCTCAGGGCTCTGCTGAAGCAACTTGGGGACAGGAAGTACAAAGCACACCTTGCTTCTCGTGAGAAGGTGGCTTTGCGGCAGCCGCTCGCTGGGGGCCGGGCCCAGTCGGGCAGCTGCTGCCCGGTCCCGGATCTGCTGGGGAAGATGAGCCCGTGTGCACTCTGTCACCGGACCATCCTTCCCTCTCTGTAAGACAGGTCAGGCCTCCCTCTCCCTGAGGCACCCCCAGCTCGGAACGGAAAGGGGGCAGGCGGATGGGATGCGTACGTGGGCCCACGGACACGCTGTGGGCAGACCCCCTTGGAGAGGGCACCAGCCGCGGGGCCCAGAGGGGAGCTCGTCCTGCTCTGCCGTCCCCTCATCCCTCACGATGCACTCCCGGTCCTTATGTCCCTTTCCTGGCCGCCGAGCGGAGTCAGAGCAGCAAAGAGGCTCAGGGGAAGGCGTCAGAATCCGAGCGCTTCATCCTGACTCGCGTGCCCCCCTTTGGGCACGTCACCTAGCCTTCCTAAAGCCTTGGGAGCCGTCCTTTCGTGTCTGGAAAGCGGGGACGCTGGTGGCACCCACTCCCGTGGTGGGAGGAGGGTGGTCTGTGTTCAGACGGTGCGGCAGCAGGGGTGAGGGAAGCCGCTCGCCCGGCATGCAGGCGCACCGACGCTTCTGGTCCGTCGGGTCTGGTTTTTACCTCAGAACTGGCTCACGGTCTGACTCCTGGCTTCCAAGTCAGTTCCCCAACGTAACTTTCGAGATTCTTTTGACAGACCTCAACCTCTCTCTCTCTTTTTTTTTAAGTAACTTCAGGGCCCTTGTGAAGAGGCTGTCACCGCGTCCTCCCGCTTCAAGCTCTCAGAGGGGGCTGTGCCAGAAGCTGGAATCCTGAGAACTGCCTGGCCGGCTGGGTTCCCCCTGCGTCCTCCCCAGGCGTGCGCCTGGTTCCCTGTGGCTCTGGAACCTGTAGTCCGGGACCAACTGGAGGCACGGAGTGGCTGGTGCTCTGGCACCGGCTTCCCTGGAGCTTCTGGAGCTACGGGGCCTGGCCTCTCTCTTTGCCCCTCTCCCTCTCAAGTGGGGGGGGAGGGGGACCATCTGCTGGGCGGCTCCCAATTCTAGGCTCTAACCTGCCGTGGAGACATCTCGCCGGCTTCCCCTCAGGCCACCAGAGCCGAGGTGTGGCGGGCTTGGCAGAGGTCGGTTTAGAGGCTGGCTGGTCTCACCCTCTGACTGGAAGACCTGGTGACAACTCCTTAACTTCCCTGAGCCTCAGCCTCCTGGGCTGTGAAATGGGCTTAACGCCTACAACACCCTCCACGGGACTCCTGGGATCCAGGCTGCCTCACATGCTGCGGGCATGTCCACCCCCCCATCACCAC